GGAGTGCGTGGCATGCGCGCGGGGGGGCCGGGTGGGGTAGGGGAGGCAGGCAGCAATGGACAATGAAGACGAATCCGGCTGAGAACAGGCTTGCAGTGGAGGCAGCAGACAGCACAGAGGGGAGAAAGGAAACCAGAGAACCAAAGCAACAGACTTGTCAAGAAATGAAAGGAAGAATAAAGGGACAGTCTGGCTCTTTGCTCGCCAGTAAATAGGGTGGCACATGTGGGGAGGCAGGACTAACCAAGAAACTGAAGGAGTCCGGGTAGAGCGACAGTTAAGACGACTCTCTGAGACCAAACCGCCTGCTTTGAATCTCACTCGTGCTTACTCGCTGTGTAATCTTGGGCAAGTTACTCAGCCTCTCTTTGCCTCAGTTTCCCGAGTCTTTCTCAAAAGGCTCTTGTGAGGATTAAACTATCTGACACATAGTAAGCAGCTTTTTATAAGACTTAGCTATTACCATCATTATTGTTGAATTACTTAAACTAGCTAAGTTCTCTGACCTCCCTGATGGAATGGACAATTTAATTGATTGCTGGGTAAGGAAATAAGATTTCCTAAGCTCTAATAAAAGCAAAGGAAGAAAATCAAAGAAGTCACAGACTGACTGCACAAAGCCATTCTTAACGCAAAAGCAAATAAAAATAAGATGGAAAAGGCAAACTAAGAAAACATGTGACACTATTTGATAGACAAAGAATTAATTCCTTTACTTATGTTCTTACAGAAAAAAAACAACACTAACATTCAATAGAAAAGTGGGCAAAAAGGACATGAAATACAAATTCACAAAAGAAATATAAAAAGCCAAAAAAATGAAGCGTTCATCCAAAATATTTAATAATAACGTATGTTTTTAGTAATGATAAATTTAGACGAGCCTGTATCTCATCTTTCCAGTTTGGTTTAAAAAACCTCAAGTATGTTTACATTGCATGTTTATGCCCTCGAACACTAGGAAAGGGCCGGGGAGGCGGTACTGTGAACAGTGTCTGCCTCTGAGCAGCAGGAGTGAAACCGGATTAGACATTTACTTCTTCATTTATTAAAAAAAAAAAAAAATTTAAAAATTTTTCAGTGGTAGGATTTTGGATGGATGATTTCTTACTTGCGTGTTTCAGAATTTTACAAAAAAAAAAAAAAAAATGAAATGAAGGAAAATGCTCCCCTTCCCCTACTAAGAGATGAAAAGTGAAATGAAAAACAAAACATAATTGTTCACCTCTCACACTGACCAAGATTTTGCCAGAGTGAAACCAGCGTCCTCATACACCATGCATGGGAACATAAATTACTACCCCCTTTCCGGAAAACAGTCTGGGGGTACACATGAAGGTCCTTAAACAGCTGATACCCTTGCATTTTATTTCTAGAAATCTAGAAGAACATATCAGGTCCATAGGCAAGACGTCAAGACAAAACAGTTCATCACAGTGTTATTTATGAAGATAAAAAGTTGCAAACAACTGTAATGTCCAACTGCAGGGGAATGGCTTAGATTAGGGCATCGTTAAATGATGGAATGCTGTGTGACCACTGAAAATAAAGTTCCCCATCCATTCCAACATAAGGAAATTTAGAATTACAACATTATGACAAAGCTACATACATACAGTGAATCGTCACTGAGTTTTTAAAAATTTGCATACAAAAGGAGAATATAGAAAAAGGTGAAAAGTGGTTCGTTTTGGATAGATCTTTTCCCTTTGTATACTTCTATAATAATTATGAGTGCCTTTTCTAAGGGAAAAAAAAAATCGGCTTAAAAGAAAATAAACAGCTAAGGCTAGGGTCAAAATCTGGTTTGTGGCTCCCAAACCTGGGCTTCAACCTTCTTTGCCAATAAATCTAGAGGAATGTTCCCCACACACTATACAGATTTATATAATTTTCTAAGCTGCAAAATTAGGCCCTAAGAATGTACTGAAAAAAACAAACACTGAGCAATGCACTTGGGAATGTGTTTACTGAGAATGATTTTCTCCAAAGGAACAATGAAATGGAAGGTACCCACAAGCACAGGGTTTTAAAAGAGAGTCACAGAGCCTGCGAAGAAATGACAGGTGACAGCCGCCCAAGCTGCACCATAAAATCCACCTTGGTTGACTAGGCGTACAGCCTTGAACCATGAAGCACAGCCTGAGTCCTCCAAACCCTTAGATCGCTGCATCCTCACTGCGAGCTAGCTGCCAGCACTAGGGGCAGACGTCTGTCCTGTACGAGGTCACAGACCAGAAAAGGAAGGAGGAACATACACAATGACTGGGACCCAGCGCAAGACATGCATGAGCTCCAAGGAGAGGGATAAGAGACAAAAGACAAATAACTTGAATAAATTAAGAAAACAGCCTTGTCCAAGGGCACACGTGTACAGCACTAGCTAGTCAGGGACCGGAGCTGAGGGCTGAGTTTGAGATGGGAGAATGGTGCCACCAACAGCACCACACGGCACCGTTCCTCTGGGCCACCTCTTCCTGTGGCCCGCAGACAGAGGGGACTCAGAATGCCTAGTTCCATCGCCCCTCCCAGCACACAAGACTGCAGGGCTGTCAAGTCAGCACATCTCAGCATGGGGTTCTACTTCTTCGCTGGGCCACGCCAGAGTCTCTGAAGCCCATTCCTAACGGCATCCATCCCGCCCAGCCCCAATTCAACCACTGCTTCCGCTCCCGCAAGTACTGGCCGTCTGGCCCCGCCTTCTGTGCATCTGCTGTACCTGCACCCTCAAGACATCTGCAACTTCGACACCCCCACGGTTCAGACTCAGGCCCTGGGTCTTCTCTCTACACGAACCTCAGAGAGCTCAGGGTCACCCCTGAGTTCTAATGTTCATGGAGACAACTCCCAAATCACAAGCTCCCGCCTGACTTGCTGTGGAAGCTCTGGCTCCTTACCTCCGTCTTCTACAGTCCACATCAAAAAGTCCCGCCGTCCCTTCTATCAGTTATGATCAGTCATACCTGTCATGTCCTTGTCGCTTATACTCATCAGCACTTAGTAAGTGCTGCTATTCTAAGAACTTATATTAACTCATTTAATCCTTACAACCCTATGAAGTAGGTATGCTATTTTACGTTAATATTTTTATATTATTTTTCTGATGAGGAAACTGGAATGTTAAGTAACTTGCCGAATGTCATCGAGCAAATAAGTCAAGAGCTGGATTATCTCGAATCCTTTCCTTCAGGTCAACAATTCAATTTTCAGCCACTGAATATGTAGTGTAGTGTCTTTATTTATTTACTTAGCTTTATAATACCTCTTATATACCAGTATATTAATTCGCCTTTAAAAGCTTATTTTATTGAATATATTATATAATGCGAAGTACTCTCAGAGTTTCCTTCAAGTCTCTGGATATGTTTTCAAGGTTGGGATCTTTATCTGTCTTCTATGTTCTACTCCGTTCCTTCGTTTTTACTGCAACATGTTTGCATCGTTGAAATGCTATTTTTTTCACTGTGCTTGTGGTAATACACAGATAGCTCTGTTCTGATGTCAAGTAGGTAAATTCTCCCAAATACCTTCCCCACCTGTCCATTTTCCTAGGTTCTGCTTTCTAAAGTCTTTTCAGTAGTGGTAGTCTAATATCTCTAATGACCATACATACAAACTCTGTTTTCTCTTTGGGGATTCTGTTGTACCAGGGCTGATGTACTCAAGGTATAAAGGCCGCCCTCGCCTATGGATTCTGGCTTATGCCTCTAACTCTGCAAGATTATGCTCTAAAAACAGATGCTGGGTAACGATCAGAGAGATCTGTGCTCTGGTCCTCTTCCACCATCTTACCCAGGAGCTATTTCCATTTGCCTAAGAACAGCTTCTCTTGAGAGTAAAAGCTATCTGACATCACTAAAAATTATTTTAGTCTCTCCTATATAAGGAGAAAATAAATAAAACTTTCCGAACACATCAAACTCACCAATAGTCAATGTGGATCCAAATGCACGACTGCTCTCTTTCAAAAGTATGAAATATACATGGACAGTTATTACACAGATATTGGCACGCTAAGCCCCCCAAATGGGTTTTGTTCTTTCCAACAGGCAAGAAAAAAGGGAGTACAGACCTCGACAGAAGGTATGTCCTGCTTCTCAGAACATATGTCTTCTTTAGATGCTCTGTGAATCTTCTTTTCTGAAGAAGACTTTGTGTCAACCTTTTTCAAATTTTCACAATTGTCTACTTCATTCTTGACAGGCACTTGCTGGTTATTCCCTTGAATAAATAAAAATCGTTCAATTTCTAGCTAAGTATTTCCATTCACATTCCCTATAGTTAAGTCTCTTTTCTACACCAAACAATCTCATTTGATTTCATGAGATTTAGACTTAAAGATTGGTTTTGACATCCACAATGCTCTAGAAATTTATTTTGTTTACAGGTGAAAATGCACTTATATTGAGAGTTCTAAAAACAGTCTTTAAAAGAGGTCAAGAAAAAAGGCGGGCACGCCGGTATTCACAGTGACCATATTCATAAAAGCCGAAAGGCAGAAACAACCCAAAGGCCAACAGACACGTGCACTGATGAACAAAACGTAGTAAACACACAATGGAATCCATTCAGCCTTAAAAATAAATTATTCTTGCACAATACTGTGAATATATGCAACACTACTAAATTGTACATTCGAAAATGATTAAAGTGGGGGAAAAAGAATGTATTTCTGACACATGCACCAACACGGACAGACCTTAAAGACAGTATGCTGAGCTAAGCCAGACACAAAAAGACAAATATTGTATGATTCTACTTGTTTGAGGGACCTCGAAATTTCACAGAGATAAAAAGCAGAATGGTGGCCAGGGGCTTGGGGCGGCCCAGACGGTGACGCTTGTACAACAGTATGAATGTCCTTAAAGCCACTGAGCTTTATAATTTAAAATGGTAAATTTTATGTTATGTATATTTTACCACAATTTTCTAAAAAGTTGGAGAAGGAAGAGAAGGGTAAGGAGTTGGGGTCTGGTCATGACTCAGCCAATGGTGGACGCCCACCTGCCCGGGCAGCAGGGCCTGCATGCTGAAAAATGAGCAATAAGTGAATCACACAGCAAAGGGTGGTGTTGGCAGGAACCTCATCTGAAAACATGACTTTTCCATTTTTCTTTCGCATGATTTTATTCATAAGTGTACTTCTTCTTCTATCACTTACTTCAAATAAAGTCAAATCAACTACAACAACTGGCCTCGGTGTTCTAATACAAAACGAAGTATTTCCATACTTTCTCTTTTTTTCTTTATCTGAGATTCCCTGATACCTTGGTAATCTGAGAAAGAGATAGCTGACCACCATGCAAATATTTCACAGCAAGGCAAGCTGCAGGCTCTGGTGAGATGAATGAATGCCTGACCAGCCGTCAGCAGAGGCTCCAGTCTGGCCCTGCAGTCGATCCCCTCTGATTCTGCAATTCTGAAGCTACAAATTAAACTCACTCAGAGCAAGAGACCTACATTTTTAAAGCAACACATATAAAGTAAGCATATTTTTGTTAACAGAAGATTATATAAATATTACATAACTATCAAAATGTGGAGGAAGAGTGAATTCTTCTACAACGCCAACGAGGTGTTAAAACATCCACAGAGGAAGCTAATGTATCCAGTACTCTGAAGGAGTAAAGGAAAAAGCCAAAAGCGAGGGAGACAGGTCTGGGACAGAAAAAGAAATCATAAACAAAGACACTGCTTTGAAGTCTGGGTGCCTTGAGTATGAAACAGAATACAGATATTCCCCTCAAAAAATGTACCATTACTTTCCTAGAGTCTTAATGACAAAGTACATTTCCTTAAGTTTCCTGCAGGCCAAGAACAGTTCTAAAAGTAGTAGCCATCAAAGTTTCTTACAAAGGATCAAAATTTAATACCCAACACTAATCTATCCTGCAAGAGTGGTAAAGCAGAAAATGAGTAATGTCTTCTGTGGGGCCAACAACAAACAATCGAATGAATCCTAAAAACAAGTTCTTCATTAAATCTTTGAAGAATTCTAACATGACAATATTCAAGAACTTAGAAATACCATGAGTCTATATTTCATTTTAAAAAATAGAGCCAACCGTGTCATTTCATCCAGCATGCTTGCTCACAGTATGAAATGGACTTTTTTACGTTTATTTCAGAGGCCACAAAGATAAAAAACAAAGAACAAAGAACAAGTGAACTAACCAGAACAACCACTTAAAGTCTGACTATATCAAATCTAATCATATGGTCTATTTTGAGTAAACCACTAAAACTTCAAGTTATTAGTATCTGTAAGTAAATGAGACTATTTTTTAAAAATTTCTGCAAATATTGCTGTTTCAGAAATTTTGGAGGCATCTATCCAATTCAGCAGAAACTTTCATACACTGTTAATTTCAAGGATTAGGGTATTATTACACTTAAACATTTATTATCTTTTACATTATTATAAGCAGAAAGCAATAAAATAATTTGCTAACTCTTCTTCTTCCGTGGTGATGAGGCCAGCAGCAGTTTGCAATTAGCCTGAATTCTAAATCTGTGTTATTCTGATCATACAATTAAAAAATATTAGTTATAAACATTTGAAAGGAGACATATTTCAAAAGATCATTTACATTACACACACAAAGCCCCGCTCTGGTTGAATGATCAACAGACTCTGGAACATGTAACACATGTTTGGAAAATGTGGCTGCTTCACAGTTGTTTGACAGGTTGATGCACAAAACAAGTGTGTGAAAACAGAGCCCTGAAGAATCTGTCAACAGACTTCACTTCAATCAAGAATTTTAACTGATGATTTACCACAGGCCCCTCAGGAGAGGCAGGAGGAAAGGATCGGAATGGATGACATACGGTCTCTGCTGTTCAGAAAATACCATTTCTCAACAACAAGGAGCGTGTAGCTAGAGACGCTAATATACACTTTAGAACACTTTTCGCACAATGTCACACTCTGGGGGGAAAAATAAAAAAGCCTCCAAAAAGGAGAAGGCACAATTCTTCAGGGGCCTCAAGGAGTTCTGGGAAGTTAAGAAAGTGACTTCAGGTACTCGGAGGGGACAGTCCACCAAGGCACTCTTAGCACTAGGTTTGCTTCTAGAACATTCGTGCACTTCGGGAGACAGGCCTAGAACGGGACAAACACACCCACTGGTTTCCACTGAGGGAGCGCAACATCCCCAGCAGGGGCCCCGACCATCAGGTGGGCTCAGATCAGCTGGCAAGATTGAAGTTGTTTTTCTTCGGATTCCAGAAAAAAATCTCAAGATGGAGACAACACGCTTTTCACAAAAGAAAATGTTTTTCAAAAAAGAACTGATGCTCAATGTTAGAAGTGAAAACATAGAAATTTCTTAAATATAAGGTTTTCTCATCCTTGACCATTCTTTATACATCATGGATTGATTTGATTCTCTGCTGATTATATGCCTGCTCGCCATCTGCCAGTTTGTTACGATGTTTTCCTTTAAAATTTGACAGAACCCAAAACCTTTAATATTACTAAAAGACACCAAATTCTACCTTCGAACTACAATTTATTTCCCTTAAATTCCCCAGGCCTTTCCTATTTTTAAAATTTTCGATTCTTTAAAATGTTTAAATTGTAAATCAATAGCAGGCCATTTGTGTACTCTGATATCTTCCTAGAATAAAGACATGAACAGAAGACAGAACAGTACACATCGTTAATGGATTCCCTGGCGAGGGACCTCCCGCTCACACACTAGCTGTGGGGAGAAATGCAGGACGGTGAGGCAGCGCCTTCGAATTCGCCGAGATGAGCAGGGTGGAGAGCCAAAGTTCTTTCCTCCACTCTTATTTGATCTGATCGGCAATCACCCCGGTACCCCTGAACGTGCTGCTGATTCAGCCAGAAAAATAAAAGTAAAAAAAACCCCAAACTTCTCGTAGCTGGAGATTTGTTTCCATTCAAAACATTATGAACATACCAGTCCCCTGCATAGGCAAGAAAGATTCTGCGCAGGTTTGCCATCCGCAATGATATGAGCAGACCCTATGTGTACGGACTCCCACATTAAACTTACTCTCACCTGCTGAAATGTTACTACACTACACAGTCATCTAGGCTCAACTACAGGCGTTAACTATCACTTGTTGGACAGGAGGATCTTGAAGCATAAATTCGGATCCTTCCTCTGACCTGCTCTGGCACCACAATGCTGGTCTGCACCTCTACATTTCAACCACCCCTCAAAGAACTGTGCTGCAGCAGAAGACCCCTTCCATCTATCTGTCCTCAATGCCACAGCCACTGCAATTCGCCGGCACATTTATCTAGACATGTGACAGACACAACAGACCACAGAAGCAGCACATCTGCAGGGACAACGCCCACAAACGACTAGGATTTCAAGTTTGGGTAAAGTCAGCCCATGTCAAATACTGTGCTCAGGCCTAAATGACATACAAAAGAAGAGAAAAGCCCAGCCAAATTTGGCCCATAATTTCACCTTTCACAAGAGTTCTGCAGTCTGGGCCCCAGCAAGTGTCTGGGAGAGAAATGGAGCACTAGGCACCCGCCCGCCCCACCACGAAACACCCTCCGATGAGATATGGTATGACTTCACTTAAAGATCTGGTTGACTGCACTGTCCAGAGGGTGAGCTGACACGCCAGGTGGCGAGGACACAGGGGACAGTGCTGACCCCGCAATCAGGAATCCACTTCAAGCATGAGCACTGCTGTCCGGGAAACGGCACAAAAAGGTTGGAACGAGGTGCACCCAGAACACAGATGCCCAAATCATGTTCCAACCGCAGGAGTCCAGCTTTCTTTTAAATTCGAGACATCCTTCTATGGAACACTTAAAATTCGGTCTGGGTTTTTGACCAAATGCTTAAAGCTCATCATTAGAATTAGTCAATCCATAAAATTTCTGTACTTTCTCTACAATATCAAGGAGTGAAAAAATATTAAGTTATTTATAGTTAGATGTTTCAAATAAGATCAATGTTAACTGATTATTTCCAGATTAAAAAGTGGCAAACATCTGACTTACCAGGTACAGAAATGTGCATATTAAAATGAACCAGAAAAATACACACAAGCTCTTATGCCATTGGCCAAAGGGATCCATTAAAGCTTAATGAAAATTTTACATGTAGGGAGTCTTCCTAGTCTAGTTTGCTTACATTTTCATTAACTCTATTTACTATAAGAGAACATTCGTCTTCTTTTAACCGAGGGATGCAATTAGAAAAGAACCGGGGCCGAGGAACATGAGATGGTGGCAGCTGTTAAATGCAGAAAGTTGTTAAGTTTTTTCCACTCAGAAACATTTTATGGGCTGATAAAGTTTTGCAAATAGTCTGAAAAGTCAAGATAAAAAAATAATTAGGAAAACGTGACCCTATCCTCCCTAAAACCAAATATGATATTCGCATCCCTCTAAACATATGTACGAAAAAGTTAACTTCTTAACGAAGATAGTCTAAAGACTTGGTGCCTTGTCCTAAACTTTTGGCCTTACGAATCGTTTTTCAACATTTACACCTTTGCTAAAACTCTGCACACGAACTGAAAATTCACAGTTAAAACTAAAGTCACAGGTGAGAACGAATTCCATTTAAAACAGACCTGAGACAAACAGGAGAGAGGAATCATCAAAAAGAATAAAAAGATTACCATTATTTTTCCTGGAAATTGCTGCCAAGTCTGACTGGTACTGAGGTGAATTTCTTGGCAAATGATTTTCAGGTAGTTTCTTAGAGGTCTTCAGAGGACCAAGCTCTCGTTCCTTGAGCTCAGCTATGTTTTCTGAAATTTTAATGTCCGTTTCCTTAGGAAACATACATGTCTGTACTCCCTCCTTCACGTGACATTCTGAAGAAGTATTATTGACAACAACTGTGTTTTTCAGTGTGTTTTCCTCTTTATTCAGTAAGTTTTTGGGAAGGGTTAAATTCTTTTGCAGGTGGACATTCATGCCACTTGCGTATTTGAGGTTTATCCAGTTCTCACCCATAACATCAGCGCACACGCCCTCTTTAGGGGCAGACGGGGGGCTGCCTGGGGTTGAAGTCTGTTTCTCCTCAGGATTAGTGTTGGCACTGCTGGCAACAGATGTGCTGGGTTTGTGTTTGCTGTAATAGACTGAGCACTTGTGCTTCTTCTGAGAATGACCGTAGGTAGCCGGGCTCCTCTTTGCAGCATTCTGCATCCGGCTTTGCGGGGCGTTCACCGGAAGGCAGCTTTTCCCTCTGCCTTTATCAGAGGGGCCATAGGTATCGAGAAAGTTCTTGCAGTTGCTTCTGAATTCAAGAAGGAAAACATTTAACATCAAGCCACACCGAACACGACTCTACCTCTCTGTTTCTAAACCCATGAGAAAGAGACAGCAATTGGTACTGTGTCTATTAAGGAGTTCCACTTTTCCTTCCTCTGAAACTCCGTGAGTTTAATAAACTAAGCCCTTACAAGAAGTCTATCTTAAAACGAAAGAGGTTTTGGCTGTCACATAATGACCTGAAGAAAATTTTACAAAAACAAATTTGAAATCAAAGTTTATATTACCTTAAAATGAAATCAGAAACACGTACTAGCAAAGGTGAGAACCCACATACACAGCACGAGGATTCTTACTTATGAGAATGGGAGCTGATGACGTCCATCGGACTGCTGTTTTGCTGTGAAGAGGAGCTAGCGTTTTGCCTCTGTCTTGTTTTCATGAACTCCATAAGAATGTACTGTGCTTGTTGGAAGGCTATTAAAATCACACCCAACAGGGACAAACTAAGAAGGGAAGCAATGAGGTTCATTACTGCATGGCTGTGACAGGCATTAAAAACATTAGCTTTATTACAGAGGAGCAGTGAAGGCTGATGGGTAACAACTAAGGATATGGTATTAAAATTCCCCAAGATGTAGGACATCATAATTTCTGATGTTTCTTAAAGGTCAAAAAACCCAAGTTTCTAAAAATGTGTATATTTCTAAGTCTGACATTTCTATTTTTGAAGATGCCACCAGGATAAAAAACACTCTAAACGGGTCATTCTACTCTTCTAATCTCAAATTGCCACAGCCACTGAGCTAAGAGTAACAGCTATACCCTTCACCTTGACTGCCAATGAACATGCATGGTGTGCAGTTGTCTTTTATACTTCTAGGTCCTATGAATCTCTTACAATTTGTTTACTATTATCTTAAAGCTTACCCGTTACCACTTTCTTTACTTCATGCATGTCAGGGTTCTCAAAGCAATATAAATTCCACTCGATTCATATGCTTTGATTATACCCAGGCAATATACATATTCATGCAACTCGCCCAGAGGGCTTCTCTACTTAGTGAGAACACTGGAGAAGGTGGTAGTTTACCTGACAAAGAAGACCGTAAGCCTCCAAAACGACTCCTCCCAGCTGGGTCCGGGAACCACATCCGCACACAAAGGCAACAGGTGATGAGGGAGGGTCACATTGAGAGTGAAGCGAAACTCTAGGTCTGCTGCAGTGACGAGAGTTAGCTCACGAATGACCCAGGACGAGGTAAAGTCTGGAGTAAACCTGATAACGAGAGATTCATCTTCGTGAACTTTAATGTCTTAATTTTAGGCACGAAACATAATAATCATAATGGCAGCAAAATTTCCTACTTGCACAAGATAAATACTTATATAAAAGCAACTTAAGATGTCTTACCAATGAAAAAAGGATTTTCCTCCCGCCTGACTATAAAATGTATCGCAAAACTTAAATGAGGTTAAAGCTCTGTGCTTACACAATGCTGATATCCCGTGATGTGTTTGGGTCCAGGGAAAACTGACGACAATCTAGCACTTCGAATCCATAACCTTGGCAATTATACCCATTAATTTTCAGAGACGTCACAGTTATAGGAAGTGGTCCAATATTCTCAACTTTAAAGTTCTTCGTAATAGATAAAATTTGCTTGCTGTCTTTCAGTTCTAGTGAGGATGAAAGGTGATATTTAGTATATACAAACTGCAAAATTGATTTAAAATAAATATTGAAACAACATGTATTGAATCAACAAATCGTGATACACGTTACTAAAATGTAAAAAAAAATAATAATAATTCAATATAAGCTCCAAGTATGATTTCTACCTAATGTCTTGAACAGTTACAGATTCTGTTATACTATGAGAATAAAAATAATTAGTTGAGATTTTTCTTAAGTTAATTGACCTGCCAAAGTAATCAAAAACTCTTCTCTGTTCTTTTATTAAAGGTTAAGGTTAAAAGTTTATTCTTCTCAGAGGCCAAACTGTTTGGATTTACCATTAGCCACCACGCATGCTTCGTCTCCGAGATCCTCACTCACACTGAACAGAATAAGAGGGTGTATGTGTGCTTCTGTGAAAATCCATCACAGCGACTAGCAACACAGTTCAAAAGCATCTTCTTACAGAACGCTTTTGCTCTTGGCTTTAGCGCCAAGCCTGCCCTGTCAGAGTGCCACGAACACAAACTCACGTCGGCGGCAGTCCATCAGCGTGGACTCGGGCACCTTAAATCGCAGCGAACCTCCCGCTCCAGGAAGTCTTCCGCCCACTTTCAGTAACTCTCTGGCCCCAAACCCTTCCACACCAATCATGTCGACGACAGTCAAGTTATTCCTGTAGTGAAAGGAGAGGCAAATAAAAAGGCATCGTCATAGAGTCACGAAATAAGGTGCACTTGAACCTAAATATTACTAGTTAGCGAAAACAGTTTTAAAGTTTTGGGGATAAAAAATGAAATCTATGTAAGTAGTGTGGCATCTCCTGCCACTTCTTGGAATAAAGGTGCGTCCATGGAAAGTGGAAGCTACCCAGCTCAGAAGAGTCAAGGCAAGCTGTCAATGGCCAGTAGGAGTGAATGGTCATGATCGCTCTTCAATCTCAGCCCCAGAATGTAAACTCACATGTTTCTAATAACCAGACCCCCGGGCGGTGATCCAACCTCTGAGAAAAAGTACCGAAGAAATAAATGGGGGGCCACAGAGAAACACTAACAAATATAGACAAATTGATAAAAAACTGTTTACACAGTGAACTAAGGGGTTTTCACAGAAATTGTGACTGTAAGAAATTCTGCCTTAGGAATAATTCTAGCAGTAAAATCCTCTTGTTTCTTCTGAAACAAAGATTTAAAATATCCCATAAATAACACATATCTACTCAAGTTCTTACTAGTCAAACAGTAATTCAGACTAGCTTTTGCCTTTTCATTAACTGAAATCACAATTCCTGAGACAAAAAAGTTAAGTGGAAATGATGTTTAATGACGCAGACTGGACTGAAAGCCACTCATTAATGTAAATACTACAGAAGCAGAGAAAGAACTCATTTCTATTTATGCAAATACACAGATATCTTCACATCTTTATCTGAATGATTAAAAACCGTTCACTTAACCATTTAAAAGCCTTTAAGTGATGTTAGATGATTCAGACCGTTTACAGAATAATATTGTCTATCAAGACAGAAACCACCAAAAATAAATTAACTACTCTTAAAATTTAGACTTTCTTTTTGAGTCTGGGACATTTTAACCTGGGATGAAGTAAAGTTTACATCTACATCGCCTACAATCTTAGTTCTTCAAGAGAGAATAGATTTAAAATAAAAACACATCGTCAACAGAGCATTAGGAGTCTTAGTTAAAATGCTTACTAGAACAAACTCTTTTTAGAACTTTTAATACATTTTCCTTTTAGTAGCATTCACTTGCAGAACAAATTGATATGATATAATAAAGAAAGTCCAGAATAAGTCACTGTCAACTGATCTGACAGTAGAAAAGCTTAAAAAACTAAAGGATCATTTATTAAAAATTAAATTTGTGTTAGATTCTCACCAATGCAGAGCTTCAACATAGATCTGTGTTTACTGTAAATTTTTGAAAGAAGCTCTCGATAAATACTACCTAATGATGAAAAAAATTAAGAACGAAAAATATTAGGCTGCTTAATTAAGTCAGTTGGCAATAATTCTCATTTAAAAGAAAATAAAATACAAAAAGCCAATGGGCTCAATTAAGAACTTTTTCCATTGTCCTTTGGGGCGATGACAGAATTCCAGAACAAGACAGACAGACAGGAGAATCGTGTACATCCAAACATTTCAGAATGGAAATGTATACAGCAGTGCTTCAATTATTTTTCTGGGCTAAGACAGAGAAGTCAATGCGTGCACGTGTGCTTGTGTGCGTGCATTTGTGTGTATGTATTCATATGTACATATATATTCGAGTGTGTGTTCTGCCCTCTGTGACAGTAGCAGATGAGATGTCAGTGAAATGTACTGCTGCTCTTGGAGAGACAGACACACACTCCTTATTGTGCAGGGGAGGAAACTGAGGCACGGGGGGGCAGGTAAGTGTTGGGACCTCAGGTAGCCTCTCTCCTCAGCCACTGCCTCTTCCTACCAGGCGGCACAGCCTCATCACTGAAAGCCTGACTTGAGACATAAATGTCAACTCTTTAGAGATCCTGTGTTTTTGAGAGAAAAAATTCAGACAAAGGAGTCAACGAAAAGAAAAACAAACAAACAAAAAAACAGACTCCAGGGCAAGGCCACACCTACCGGATTAGGATGAGTGAGGTAACTTTTCCGTAGTCAGCTGGTGTGAAAATGACACCGACCCTTTTCATTTCCAAGGGTTGCAAATGTAAGTGGAGACTGCCAAACCTGGATTCCTCAGAATGCACGCCCTGCAAATTTAACAAGCACAATTCAACGACTCCTGTAAAGCAAGTTTCTGTCTTCATTATGTGCATTTTAGAGTATAAACATGATTGCTTTTCTTTTTATGTCCAGATCTGACCACCCCAGTCAACCTATTAAACTTATTTATCTTGAGAGTTCAAACCAATAAACATCTCCCAAGCTACAGCTGAGAAGAGACAGAGGTTGCAGGACAACACGCATGGATGCTGGAAAGATGATTTGTTTTCTGGGCTTGGATGAGTTGGGGATGAAGCCGTCTAGGCAAAGATGCTTTGCATGTAAAACATCACTTAGAAAACAGACCAAACAGCCTCTATTTGAATACTACACGAATCTGATGAAACCACCCACCCACTGCTCAGCAACACTAAATGCTCTAATATGTGTATACAGAAACCATCTTTATTATATTTAGTCTCTCCACTCAGGAGAAAGAGCTTTATTTACTCACATCTTCCTTTATTCTTTCCAAGATTTCTAACTTCTTCTGAATAAATCTTGTGGTCTAAACTTAATACTCAAGATTTCGTTATCCTTTTCCTTCTTTTCATTGTTTTTTTCTAGCTTCTTCTCACTAAAAACGATTTATTAATTCCTTAGAGCTATAATCACATTATCTGCACAATATTTTTTTTCTGTTCTTAGTTTTTAAATTTGTTTTACCCTTCAGTTATTGCTCTCATCTCTCATGCTATCTGAAAGAAGCAATAATGATGGTAGCTAATTCATTTTCATTAGAATTGTAAACGTCATAGAGAAACCTTGCTTTATACAAATGAATATTGAATAAAAAGCTGCTCAATTTTAGTATTAAAACAATAATAACGACAACAGCAGCATCATTTATTAAATGGTTCTTATATACTAGGCATTGAAATGCAAGGTATATAAAATGATGAGCATTCTATAAACCTTACTAAATCTTTGAACATTATCGTGAATGAGAAAGAGGCGGCTTAGAGAGGTTAAATAATTTGCCCAGGATCGCAGAGCTGGAACATGGAAGAGCTTGGATTCAGAATCTTGCATGTCCAATTCCACATGCTCTTCACTAAAGAAGCTACATTTCCAAAAGCGAACCAACGAAATTAAAATACAGGTCCCTTTCTTTACATGACAAAGAGTTCTAATAAGAAGCTTAAGTTACATTTTTACGTGACTCAAAGGCATGGATGCTGACTATTCTTTTGTCAATGTGATAAATTCACAACGGTAATAACTTCCTTTATCAGAGAAGATGTTTAAATTCTTGGGGAAAATCTTCAATCTTAGATGAAAAAAAATTTTTTTTCCCAATGAGTTACAATATTTGTTCAAACCTGAATAGCCTATTTCTATGTAACAGGAATTGGCATTATTGTTGGAATTTCAAATTATGTATGATGCAATGGCACTGGGGCAAACTATCTCTTAGTATTTTGGACTAATTTATCTTGAACAGCCTCGGGTGTTGGGTCGAGAGGAGATTGAGAGGGACAAAGCAGAACGGTCTCGCTAACCAAAACAAGACCAGGCTGCCCGGACCACTTACAAACAGAAAGAAACGTCTGCTGGTGATGTGCTTCCTACTGTAAAAAAAGTGTCTATGTTAAAAATCCACTTAAAAACTCGCTTTGATTAGTTTTGTCTTAACTCTTAGTTGGAGGTTATCTGTGGTCTCTCTCTCTGTTATTCAAGGTAATCTAGAGCTGACAGTAAATCTTTTTGGAGGGCTAAGTGAGGAGGAAAAAGAAAATGCCCACGGCATTTAAATATGTGTCTGTATTAGAAAGACAGTTATATACATAAGTATGTTTACATGTCTATGTGTGTATTTTTTAAAACAGATGCTCCACTTTTGAAAGAATCTACATGCAGAATTCCTATGAGGAAAACACTCAGCTACACACAAAGAGCTACAGAACTACCGAGTGAAAACTGAGAAACAAGGCTGCCAAGTCCCCAGTCAGACACCCCCACCACATGACATGTTTACTCCTACTCCAAAGTATTTATGCAAAACCTCATGAGTGCCCAGAGGCTTGAGAATTTCAGAGAAATCCTTTTTTTTTACAGATGAGGTGACTATCATAGAAATTGGGTGACTTGCTAAAACATGAAGTTAGTTTAGTAAGAGAAGTTTTCTTTAAAAAATGTATTTACTTTTACCTTATCGTGCCCTAAAAAGAATTTGATGGGGCCATGGAATCTTAAGAGAATTATAAATTCTAGGGTTTCAAATTTTATAGTTTTCTACATAGCCCTGATTCAATTGTTATTTCTTTTACTCACATGAATCTAAATCATCAAATTAAAATGATTTACAGGCTAACATAAATCATGGATGCTTGCTGCATTAGTTAATTGGAAAAATCTGCTATGTATACTTAATGCCTAGAACATAAAAATAAGAGAACCACATATATTACATAAAGACACTTGAAACATAAATCGGTGAGGCCCATGTGCGGTGTCTGGTTTGGAAGCATTCTTTTTTTCTGTGTAAAGACAACATCCTACCTGGTAAGGGCAAGCTCGGGTGAGCTGGAATTCACCAGTTGTGAAATTAATCATCTGCATATCAATGCCAAACCTGTAAAGAAAAAAAAAAGTTTAAAATTGCATTCAGACAGTCAATAAATAATCATGTGTATGCACATGTATATGTTCATATATGTGAATACATGCGTTTGACACACAAGCAATTCATCCCCTCCCGTCACTACTGTCCCAGCCCCCACATTGTAGGTGGCATATCGTAAGTGCTTGGTAAATACTGTTGAATGAATGACTCTGGCAGCAGAGAATACAAAGAAACATATGGTGAAAAGAGCTAAATATGAAGCAATTTTTTTTTTCTCCAAATTGTTCATAGCTATGAAACCTGATAGGAAGTGACTCTCAATCAAGGGTAATTTCATCTCCCAGCTAAACGTCCAGTGGACATATGGAGATGTCTGGCAACATTTTTGGCTGTCGCAGCTGCGGAGGTCTGACTGGCATCTATTGGGCAGAAGACACTGATGCTGCTAAACAGCCTTTGAAGCACAGAACAGACTCATCTGGACCAAAATGTCAATGTCGTTGAAGTTGAAAAACCCTACAATAAGGGTAGATCCCACTAAGCGAAAAGGTGGGAACATTCTAAGCGAAACTGTATTGTCTGAAAACGAGTTAAGATATAACAGACATGAACTAACTATCATCATCTTAACCTCTTTAACACTAGGTTAAAATATACCAAAACACTCAACTCCTTTCTTGTGTCGTCTAGAGGTCATCATGATTTAGATTCTAAATTTTAGGAGTATTTGTGAAAAAGTCATGATTGTAAAGGTTCCCTGATCAAGGAAAAAAACACTCTGCTGGCAACTTGACATAGTGATACTGAAAATTCCACGGAACAAATGGAACTGGTAGTTCCCAGCATTACACGCATCAAGAGCTGGGTGCCCAGGTGCATGGGTTAACACTGTGTGTGTGCATCCACACACAGGTTCCGGATACAGAACAGGAAGGACTTAAAGTATCTGCGAGCCTTAACAGCACGTCCCAAACCACCCATCAGAGAGACTTCACTGACGGGTGCTTTACCATTTGTTGAGCAGGCGCACTGCAGCTTCGGGTTTGGGATACAAGGAGAGAGGCAGGAGCTGCAAGGAGACTGGCAAAGAGGAAGGGTTCTTCACCACGAAGTACTTCACCTAGACAAGGGGAAAGGAAAATCAAAACCCTGCGGAAGACACAGCATCTCTTCTGAGATCCTCCTGCAAACCAAACAAACAAACAAAGAAACAAAAAACCCCCGCGTAACCTGAATCTAATCACGAGGAGCCAACACACAAATCAAATTGAGAGACACGCTAGAAATTAAATGGCCTGCACGTCTCAGAAAGGTCTAGGCTTTGAAAGACAAAGAGAGGCTGAGGAAGATTAACAGAGATGAGAAAGACCCGACTGTGCAATGCCAGGTCCTGAGCTGGATCCTGAACCAGGAAAAAAATTGCTGTAAAGTATGTCAGTGGGATAACTGGGAAAAGTCTGAATAGACGACAGAGCAGATAACATTATGATGATTAATGTCGCATTTTATAGTTTTGATACGTATACTCTGGTATAGAAGATGTTCCTTTTCTTAGGGAATTTATACTGAAGTCATCAGAGGTAAGGGGGCATGGCTGACACCCTCAAATAACTCATGAAAATACATGTGTAGAGAAAGAGGGAGTGATGAAGCAAGTGTAGCAATCGTTAAAAATTGATGAATCTTTGGAAGGGCAATTGGGAGTTCTTGGTGCTATTCTTGAAACTTTTCTCTGAGTTGAAATTATTTCAAAATAAAAAATTATATACAAGAAACAGTCTTAGAACGTCGTCCCTAAGAAACTCCATGAGTGCCTGACAAAGTATGATTATTACTCAGATCATATGGAATAGAGTTCTTTATCAATGAACAAAGTATGATTATTACTGGGATCATATGCAATAGAGTTCTGTATCAATGAGACCTGTGAGACACGAATGGAAGTCTGATGTCGCTTCTTCCCCTGTGCCCTTCTTCCTGCCCCTCCAGCTCAATGAGAGCAGCACACACGGAGGATGAAGAGAGAACACACGGCAAGGGCCTGGATCCCTGATGGCATCACAGAGCCACTTCGCCAGCCCTGAATGTCTCTCCTTTGAGTTTCTTGTTATGAAACAAACTCCTACTTAAGCCAGCGTTAGTCAAGATTTTCTATTGTTCGCAGTTGATTACTTTCTTAGCTGATAAGAATTGGAATTGTACAGGAAATTCATAAAATGTACTCGATATTTGCCCTGAGTCTATTTAGAGTTATTCCTTATTCGGTTGTTCTTCAGACACCTCCCTACTAAGCACTGGATGGCAAGCACATGTGTGTCGCTTAAAATGAATTTAAATTAGTTTGGGTTCTGAAACAATATCCTCAAGGGAGAAAGACGCCGGTATCTTAAAAACCCAAGAGCCAGGGTGTTAATGACAAAGAGGTTAAAAGACACAGGGCCCTCACCACGCCGTTCCTGAGGGCGGTGGCGCTGAAGTTCAACACCAGGCCAGGCTCTGCAGGCAAACGAGGCAGGAAGGAAACGAAGGGCTCCGACTCCCTGGATTTCTTCAGGTGGGCAAACCGAGTCATTCCTAGAACACTCCTCCTGGGTAATTTGCAAAGAAAAGAAATGATTATAAAAAAACAATGCTGACACACGCAAAAGAGGAAATTACCAATTATATCACTCTCACTAGAAGGAACAAAGGGTCTGGGGGAAAAAATGGTTTATTTTGGGTCTGGGGAAGAGAAAGTACAAGGTGATCCTGGACCATCCTATTGTACTTGAAAGTAAAGAAGTGCTCAAAGAATGATTAGAACAGATCAAAGGGACCCACCCAAGCTAGCTGAAGGGCCTCCCATCAGCCAAATTTGGGACAATTTAGCATCAAAAATAATAATGATGGTAATGGTGGTAAAGACAAAGGGTCTACAGTGATGCTAAAAAGGAATATAAAAAGTAGAATAATTAGAAACATCACCATTTTGCAGCCATCAATCTCAAACAACTGATCCAGGAAAAGATTATCAATAGATGCTAAAATCGTGGGGTGAAACATTCCCAGGGAATAGGAAATTTATATGGGCTCAAGTCATCATAGCACATATTGCTTACAAATTAGTAAAGAACAACTTGTATCTACAATGGAGAGAGATCTGGCACACGTACAATGAAGAGAGTCAAATGATTCAACTTAGCAATGCCGATAATGGGACAAATTGATATTTATGCCCATCCTGAGGTGATGCAATGATAAGGAAACAAAACCAAGTAATCAGCACTCTTCCCCAAAATGTTTCACATGAACGTAAACGTGAGGATGCAATTAAAAAAAAAAAATCCAGAGTGATGACCATTTTATAATACAACTGGCTAGGACTCTAAAACGCCAGCATTATGAAAAGTGAAAGGTGGGGACACTGGTCTAAAGAAAATTAAGAAAACAGGACAACCAAATACAATGCATAATTGTTGAATGGATCCTAGATTTTTTAAAAAGGAAAAAGACAGCTATCATGGATATTTTTGGGTCGACTAGGGACATCTGAATACAAATTGTATATTAGATAATAAAATTGGATCAATGCTAAGTCTGTCTGGTACGTAATGGTAGTATAGTTATATGTAGGAGAATTTCTCCTTAGGAAATAAAATATTTCCTAATAAAGTACTGAGGGTTGAACTATCATAATACCTACAGCTTACATTCAAATGACTCAGCAAAAAGAAAATGTGAGTGTGCGCACGAATGCAGATGTAGGGAGAGAAAAGAAGCCAATGTGGTGAGATGTGAACAACTGGTTCAGTATTCGCCTTATGATTCTTTCAACTTTTCTGACGCTTGAAATTTGTCAAACTAAAAGACTGGAGAGAAAATTCAGTATTGCCATTTCACCAAAGCACTTTCACTATGTAACGGTGCTTCCTCAACGCTGAATAAAAGAAACGAAGAAAGGTGAAGACCTACTTGCAGACGTCACCGTTTTTAAATTTCTTCCATCTTTCATACAATTTATTTGCAAGTTCGAAATCCGCATCCCAAGTAAACCGATCCAGAGAGAGGCTCCCTTCCCAATGAGGATTTTCTAAAAGTCAGATCAGATTTAATATTTATATTTACAGAAAGCGCAATGCAATTAGTAAATATTGCCAAAGCTGACTGCTAAACTTCTCAGTGACAGGATTGTGGAGTGAATCGACACCCGCTCTCTCTTCTGATCGCTCTACTAAATAAAAGTCTCTCTAATTCATGGCAAATGATATATCAAATCAAACGAACATGTATAAAACAAAACTAAATCGAATTATGTAAAGGTAATAACAGAAAAGACACATGGCTCATGAATACAGCCTGAAACAAGTTAAATTACAGTTGGAACATTTTTAACAGCTTTAAAACTAAAAGACTAAACTGTGTGCATGTAAACGAAGTCTTTCTGGTTACTACATAGAACGCTAATGGACAAATCCTCAAAAGAGGGCAGAGTCCAGGGACTCAGTCTAGAGAAAATGTGTTTTTATGTTTATAAACTGGTCTGGTCTCTTGTTAACCTCGCCCTCTCTACTTATCTGTTCTGTCTTGTCTGTGCTAAGGAGCATATTGGTGAAAAAGTGGGAATCTTCTCCAAAGAAACCTGTGTACTGTAATACTCTCCTTAGATGAAATATTTTAATAAATCAAACAGCAGGAACAAAACTAGAAACAACTTCTAGGTCAACACTCTGGCTTTCATTCAGGCTCACCCAACAACAAGCACCTCCATAAGATGTTTATACTCCGATAACTCATCTTCAAATGCAATTCCAAATTATTTCTAAAAACTCCTAGTCAATCCTTTTTTTAAAAAAAAACTACAATCTTCCAATTTTTCCTGGTGACAAAGTTGCTATGATGATCAAATAATGTGTTTGAAAAAAACTCTTAAGTATGAGCTACTTAGGAGGGCATTATTTACAAAAAGACCTTGGATGTTTTAGAGGCTTCTTAACAACCGCATGCCATTCTGTTAAGGATCATGCTCTTTAAGAATAGAATATGATGCAATTCCATTTACAGGACTAATTATCCCATCCACAAATGCTAATTTTCCTCACTGCATCCCATCCAACCCCCAACTAGAGTTCTACAAAAAGCCTGAGGGCAAAATACTTACCTGCTTTTGATTTTCCCATGAAATAATGCATGCCACAATGTGCTATCACTTCAAAACCCAGACTCCCTTCCTAGATTGAAAAGTAATATATGAATAACTTACAACACAGCACTAAACATAAAAATCCCAATGCACTCAAATGCAAAGCAGACATTGGCCTCTACCTTAGTGAACTTCCCTTTAACCAAAAGCCAAATAACTAGAAACTGATTTCTTGGCTTCTTTTATCCTTGAATGAGAGCTCTGAACTGTCTCTCAAAGTGCCCACAGTGACAACCCTTGGGTCCAAAAGCCACCAAACTGTCTTCTGAATTAAAGGTGAAATTAATGTCAGGACATTCTTAGTAGGTTTTTAAAAAACGCTGTACTCAAATCCTCTGAGAAACTGTATGCCAATCTATAGTATTTCTTAAGAGCTGATCAGAACATTCAAATGAATGTCCCATGCCCTATGGGTGGGGAAAACACAGACTTGCTACTTCCACACATACCTGAAACCTGCCTGCTCCCTCCCAGTCACTCCCCTTCTAAGCATCTCCTGATCAAAAAAAGAAAATTTCTAAGAAACCTCCCCTGCTCAAAATATGGATGAATGAAATTAACCTTACATTTTGCTTAGTTTTCAGAAGTCCTATCTTTAAGCTTAAATGCTTAGCTAAACATGAAGCATTTCTATCTATGAAACACCAATGCTAATAATAAGTGAGAAAAATCATAAAGATGGTTGCATGAAGGTCTCATAGTGAAAAATCAGAATCCAGCATTATACCGAATAGCTTAGATCAAAAAGAAGCAATAACAGTAACTAAACAAAAAGAAATAAACATTAAGAAAAAATGAGACATGTTTAAGATCTAAATTAAATACAATTTATCCAGATTTTAGAAGGCATTTCTTAACTGTGAACCCTTTCAGGCTTTAGATTTGGCTCACTAAAGAAATGCAAAGATTACAAGCACCTGAGCACCACTTACCAGAAGTCTAAATAAAGCATTTAACCATCTCATTTATTTGTAGTAATTGCAAGTATGTAATAAAAGCTCAAATGTGTTTTCTACAGCAAACATACATTCCTTGCTCTACAAATTTTAGAAATAAATGAAAATGAGATCGATCTACTTGTGATGACTTATTTCATTCAAGAACCTCCAATCACTTTATGAAAAATAGTAACTCTTTTCAAATAAAGATTTCTACATTTAAACAATTCGCCATCGAAGACTGGCCTGCTAATATCCTTCGGTTTCTTAGAGAACCTTAACATGAACTTAACTTAGTCCAGAAAACTCCAGCACTGTAAGTTAATAAAAAGAAACAGTAATTATAACAAAAATTATAATACTTATATAGTGTTGTAAATGATACCTTGGTCAGAGTAGAGTAAATCTGTAGAGGTATTGCAAAAATGGCACCTATGTTTGTAGTCAAAAATACATTGGTGAATAGATTTATGGCAATGTCTTTAACAGCAAGTTTCAAAGAAAATATATTCCAACAGCCTGGAGGTAGAAATAAAGGGCCAGTGAAATTCAGAATCTAAAAAGAAAAGAAGCAAGAGAAATTACTTTCCTAACACTAGTTATAATTAAAATCATTATAAAGTATGATATTAAAGTTGTTCTATACTTTAAGAAATATAATTTTGCTCGATCATTTCCCGGTCAAAAACTGAAGTATTTTCATATAAATGATAGGTTTCAAATAATATTTAACATGCAATCGTTTGTAAATTCAACAAAAGTAATCTTGAAATTTTCGTAGGTGGATATTTTGCAAAAAAGCTATTATTTTATCATGAATGAGGCTTAATTTTACTAAATATACAATCTTTTTCGTATGTTATATATTATAAAATTTTTGAAAAACAATAAGAGCAAATATCCGTGAAAAATATATCCTGGTCCCTTTGAGCATCCTGAACAATAGTTTAAAAAGAAGAGAGAGATCCTAAAAGTAATTTTGAAAATGTTAAAAGAAAAATACTTGCTTTAAAATTAGAAGTAAATATTAACTTTTGTAAATATTAATTTCATAGTACTTGACCTTAAACAAAGCTTAAAATAGGCTAAAACTTAGATAAAAATACTATACGTACTTTCAAAAGGTGCTTGGTCTCCTTGGAAATAAACACATCATTTAGTACAATAGTACGGTCAAAATGGTTGAGGTACCACATCGACCAAACTCCCGATGTGTTCTCGTGGGTCTCTATGTGAAACTGGGTTGCAGAAGACTCCATTCTAAAATACCTGCGAACACAGCACACATGCATGCTATCAGCCCCCAGAATGAGACAACCGTCTGCACTCGAATAAGCCTCGACCTACAGAAAGGGTAGCATCATAAACGTGAGAACTGCATGCTAGGAAGGACCTTACAGACTACTTTCTCTAACCTCCCTGCCCACAAGTGGAGCACCTGAAGGCCAAAGGGAAAAGCAACAGAGCCAGGACCAGGACAGCTCACAGAGGCCGCCGGGGCAAAACCAGGACCCAAACGGGACTGAGAAACACAGGGGACTAATTTCTTCTCCCACACCTTGCTGCTGGGCCCAGAACCTGTTTAGTGATGGGAATCATTCAGCTTCCTCTTTCCCACTATGCAAACAACCCTTCCTCTGCTTGTTAGCAGTGCCACTGCATGGAAGGGAAGTCCAGAATCACACGAGTCTTAGTTATATTTTAAATCATTTCTAAATGGAAAAAAAAAAAAAAAAAATCCCATATGATTTCAGAGAAAGTAGAATTTACCTACCCTGGAACCACAGGAGAGGAGAGGCAGGCGTTTAGTGCTGGAGCGTTTTTTGTTTTCTTCATCTCTTCCTTCACTCCACTGTCACACGATGTAGCTGTTTTGAGGTAAAAGAAATAAATGTGAAGTGTAAGTATCTTTTCTTTCATTACTCGTAAACAAACGCAAGATACATGTGTTAATTTATAACTTTTTAATCACTTCACTTTTTCTGTCTCCATTAAAATCATGCGTCAGATATAAATGGCAAAATCCTTTCTCAAATACTATCCTTCTTCTTTACTGGCTTGCTGCCAGTTATCTAAAACATGATGTCTGCCACCCCACCCCCTTTTATAAACCGACATCTCATTTCTTTCTGGGGGGAAAAAAAAACGAATCAACACTTTGTGGCCTTTTTTTTTTTAACAGAGATCTGTATTCACCATAAACAAGAAGTCCTTGGGTCTGCCAGAGATGACAAAAGTTAAAGATAAAGCTCAGCTGAGTGGGGTGAAGAGGAGCATGTGGGGGCACGAGCGAGAAAGGAACGCACCTCAGTGACAAGAGGGAGCTTCGCAGTAAAGGTGGGAATGCATGTCAAATCACTGCTGCTTAATCGAAACATCAAGCTTTCCTGGAGCTAGGTTACTAAATTATTGGTATTGCATTCTTAACTCTAATACCCAGCTCTTTTTCTAAAGCTATACACACACACGTGCGCAATTCAAAAAAAAAAAATTCAAATGCTAACAAAAAATGTGAAAATAAAGTCTACCTTTCACCCCTGACTTCCCAATTATCTTAGAAGAAACAACTGTTAACAGATTCTTGGGCATCCTTCCAGCTGTTCTACACATATACAAGTACACGGCTACCCTTTAAAAAACCCAAATGTATACATACTGCTTGCATTACATGTCCACGTACAGTTTTTAATAGCTGCAGAGTATATGGTCCCCATGGGTGAACTACGATTTAAATCAGCTACCTATCGATGGATGTCTACGCTAATCTGTTGTCACAATCAATGCACATTTTTGTAGGTAAAGTTTTGGATACATATGTGAGTATATCTGTAGATAAATTCTTAGAAGTAGAATTAAGGACTGGAGAGCATATATGTGCATTTTAAATTTTCATAGAGATTGCCCATTTTCTCTTCAAAAAAGCCTGTATCAATTAATATTCTTGTCAAAAATAAGTGGGTTTTCCCCCTAATCATTACCAACACAGAATATTAACAATCTTTTTTATTTTCATCGATCTAAGTAATAAATGATGTCTCACTTTTTGCTTTAAATTAACATTTCTTTCAATATAAGTGACATGAGGCATGTTTTCATATGTTTAAAATCCACTTACATTTCTTTACAGAAATCTCCTTAACTATAAGTAAGAACCTACAGATAAGACTGCGTTTATACTCATTAGACCTTCTGCATCTCATTCTACACAAGGAATAAAACTGAGATGGTACAATCTATCTGTGAAAGCAGTACCTCCATCAACCACATTTATATTCTAATCTTTCAAACTGCCAGTTGAGTTACCCTTTAAACTCAAAATCCTACATGTGTGGCAGACTAAAAGTGGCATCCACAATCATTTGTTCCATCATGCCATTTCTTAGAACTATTAGGACTGTGGTATTGAAAGCAAATCAATTCACTTTCTTCGAAACGTGCCTAATTTGTAGTTGTAAGTCATTTCACAGAAAGAATTGCCACTGGTAACAAAAACACAAAGATAACCTCCAATATTTTGAAAATTTGTACCTTTGCAAGTAAAAGAGGCAATTTTTGTAAAGTTTGTCGTAGAAGTAGGTAGGAGTACTGGTTCAAACTGCAGAGACAGAGCATCTCTCTGTGAGAAATGATGTACATCCTAGAACAACAAAAAAAATCCACATTACCGCTCTCAGCTAGGAAATATTTATCCAGTTTGAATCGACTGTTAAAATAACTAAGCAATTCAAACTGGCATCATATAGAAACTGCTCAGCAGATGTGTCTCTAACGGTGTGAAGTAAGTGCTGACAACTGTCATCTATCTTAACATGGGTTCAAGCAAGGGAAATTGGGTTTAAATTAAAGCAAAAGAGAACAGAGACAAGTGTTTCTCTATCTGTTCTGGAAAAATCCTCATGTTCTGCAATTAACTACACACCTGTAAGTTCAACATTTAGTTTACGTAAGCGTTTAACAATTACCTGTATCCATATAAGGCTGTTTCCTGAATGTAATATATACATATTTACTGCCGAATCATCTGTCCGAAAGAATCAGAGCAATGAGATTAAAACAAAAAGCCATCTCACTCTCACACAGTACATATTACTCTAAGAACTGTATCTCATTTTTCAACACTGCAATTGAAACTGGGAACTATTTTCTGCTGGTATTCTTTTAAGTCACAAGAAAAAGGATCCTTACAAAAATATTAACCTACCAATACACAGGCTTTCTATATGATGAAAATTACCAGTGGGGAAATTCTGAGTTTAGGGTCAGATGACTTCCTGCTCCTCTGGACAAAACCAACCAACTGGACAGCTTCAAATAAAGCTATGTTCTCCTGTTGATTAGACAGCCCATTTCCTTATTTAGACAGCCATACTTAGGAAAAATAAAACTCTGGGATCTCAAAACATAGCCTTTTTAATGCTTATCACGAGCCAGTAGCCCTCTCTACACTGACACCCACCTGACCATTCTAAGAATCACCAAAAACTATGAACTTAAGGACAGGAAAGCTCTCTGTTGAATCATCATTATTATAATCAATTCTGAGGATTAGAAAGTAAATGATGTTTGACCAACAATTAAAACAGCCAAGATAAAACTGTATTTTGATGCTGTTTCTTTCTCTGAATATGTATGTGTGTATGTGTGTGTGTGTAATACATACTCACATACATACACACTCACATACTAGAACAGTCTTGACAGCCAATGGATAATATTAATCCTACATTGTAAATATCATGGATCATATAGTATGTGTCTCCTACAAAAGTTCTCATGAACTTAGACTGATGAACTTAAACTGATAAACTAGGTTATTTCCGCTTAAGTAGGACACACGTTTGCAAAGATAAAATTCATAGAACAAACACTAAAGTTTATACTACTCTAACTTGTCAGACATCTAGTAACAACTAGTATCAAATCAGCTATTAAAAAAGTACAAAACAGAATGACTTGGTGAATGGAGCTTCTGAAAATCAGTAAAACTGGAAGAAGAGACACAAGACTCCAAATACTTTGTGAATATTTATATTAGATTGTTGTGCCCATTTAATTTACTCTCCCAAGAATATCAAGAAACATTATTCCCAAGGAAACTCAGAAAAGTTTGCAACTGCCATTTAATTTACTCCAAAAATTTACTAGCAGCTGCAGACTGAGAACCAGTTATTATTACGAGCTCTTAATAATGAAAGCGAAGGGTCTTTGTTGCCTTAGATTGCAATGATACAGTCTGTAAGTACATGTGACAGAATGATGATGCAGCTTAATCAAAATATGAGATTTAAAGATTCCACCTTACCCGAGGTCTCAGATTTATCTGTAGCTACATATATAATAGAAAGATGATCTAACAAATTTTGTGTGTTTTCTTCAAATTCTTTTGAGGAGTTTTCCATTGTTACAATTATGCTCATTTGTAGCCGTAAAACATCATCAGATTCCAGATAACAACTCTGAGATTGGAAGAATGGAGAAAAAAGGAAAAACTCAAAAAAATCATCTGAACTTCGTGACTTCAAATTTTAGGGGGAAAAGCACTTAAGGCAAGGGCATGTATATTTCTGAGAATAAAAGTGCTGTTTTATTTTTGATTTCTAAGCAAAAAGGCAAGAAAGAAGGCAAGAAGAAAATACTGAATTTTCTATTTTACCTTTAATCGCTGACACACTTTATTATGTAAACTGCATTCCAGTTGTACCTGCAAGAGGCTAGTATTAGTGGTTTCTGCCTAAAAGAAGAAAAAAAAAGGAAAAGAATTTAAAAGAAGGCAAAAGGCTTAATCTAGTATTAACAGCAGACAATCTATCATGTATTCAGAAACTGCATTTACGCATTCAACAAATATTTGAGTATCTGCTAAATTCTGAGTCGTATTCTATTTACTGGAAATATGACAATAATTACAGCAGGAAAATCAGTTCTGAAACCGAGCTTACATTCTAGTGAAAATCACAGCCTTTCTTTGTGCAACATGAAAATTCCGACTATGACAACAAGCAGATAAATATGTTCTAAATATGTACAGGAGCACTGTAGTTTGGCATCTCTTACACTTTTTGAACATTTCGTTTCAACCCAGGAGTCTACTTTTATTTTAAAGTAGGTTCGCCCAATAATAGCCCATTAACTGTTCTTATGTCTGCCTTCCATACCCAGAATGACCTCAGAAGCGATGATGAAACCATAAGACAGGTCCAAAATTCAACTGGCTACCATTTTTACTAGGTGAAAGAGCTATGGACAGAAGAGACAAAGTTTATAAAAGGAATTAAGAATTCTGTCAAGTTTAAAGATCTTAATAGCCACGTGCGGTGCTATGGACAGTCAAGGAAATGCCAGTCCCATGCAGGGATACGGCCATGTGGGTGGGAGGGTGGTGGCTGCACAGAGAAGTGAGGGAGAGCAGCATGTGAATGTGAAGGGCCTGGCTGTGAGAGTTCCTCTTGCTGAGTTTAATGTGTGTGGCACAGTTGTCCCAAAAAGGCACTCGGCCTGGCATCCACAGCTGGGACGCGAGGAACGCTCTGTAAGGTAAGAAGGCAGTCCCCAAATCCCTGGCTGACAACTGTGGGTCAGCATCTGTTTACTCCAATAAGATTTACTACTGAATAGAATCACCCCAATTATGCTTAAGCTGTTAGATTTATAAGAATTACCTAAGTACATTATATACAAACCAATTTTTAACTACTTCGATTGTCATCTAGGCAATTAAAATACAGGGGAAGAAAGAATAAAGTAGATTACATTTTAAAATTTAGTAAAAGCTGGCCTCAGTTCACGACTTGGCCTCTTCAGGCACCTCCAAGCCCAGCGTGGGTGGCAGCCATCAGCAGACTGCTTGGTGGCGCATGCCTGGTGGCCGAAGGCAGGGCACAAGGGGCTGCTGCTGAATGTGGCCTGTGGTAGGGCCCCTCCCAGGAGGCTCTGGAGCCAGCACCCCAGGTGGCCGGTGTCAGAACATGCCAGAGCACCACCCGGGACACTTCCAAGGACAACACACCCAAAAGGCAGACAAGGCAGGTGGCAGAGCGCTGCTAAAGCAAATCTTGCTCCACAGGGTCAGTTCCTGCTCCTCCACTGGCCAGTCCTCAAGACCAATCAGCCAGCCCAAGGGTCAATCCTTTTCACTGATGTGCAAACAGCAACCAAGGCTCAACTACAACAGGAGGGCACACACAACCCATACAAGGGACACACCTGGAGCACCTGGCACAGGTGACCAGGGAGGCTGTGCCACTGGGCCCCATGGGACACCTACTACATAAGGCCACTCCACTGAGACTGGGAGACATAACAGCCCTACCTAATACAAAAAAACAAACAGTGTGGCAGCCAAAATGGAGAGACAAAAAAACATATCTCAAAGGAAAGAAGAGACAAAGCTCTAGAAAAAGAACTAAACAAAATGGAGACAGGCAATCTACCAGATGCAGAGTTCAAAACACTGGTTATAAGGATGCTTGATGATCTCAGTGAGGACTTCAATGAAGAGATAGGAAACAATAAAAGAACCAGCCAGCAATGAAGAATACAATAGATTAGATTAGAATCAACACATTAGATGAAGCAGAAGATCGAATCGGCAATTTAGAAGACAAAGTAAAAGAAAACATCCAATCAGAAGAGCAACAAGAAAAAAAGAATCCAAAAGAAAGGAGGACAGGTTAAGAGGCATCTGGGACGTTAAGCGTACCAACGTTCACATCAAAGGTACCAGCAGGAGAAGAGAGAGAGCAAGGGACTGAAAACCTATTTGAAGAAATAATGACAGAAAACTTCTCCAACCTGGTGAAGGAATTAGGCATACAAGCCCCGAAACTGTAGAGTCCCCAAAGAGATAAACCCAAAGAGGCCCATACCGAGACACATCATAATTAAAACCTGTACTGCTTGTACCTGTTCAGTAGCCCCTGGATCCATTCACTTCTCTTCATTCCTAATAACCTATAGATCAGAGCTCAACAAACTATGCCCATGGGCCAAATCCAGCCTAGTAACTGTGTTTGTAAATAAAGTTTTATTAGAACACAGCCATACTCATTCCTTGTGTATTGTCCATGGCTGCTTTTGTGCTAACGATGGCCTAGTTGAGTACTTGCAACAGAGGGTCTATGGTCTGCAAAGCCAAAAAATGCTATTCTCCAGTCTTTATAGAAAAAGTTTATGGACCCTTGCCCTAGAGGAAGGATGGAAGAGGCAGAGGCAGGTAAGCTATTGCACCAACTTCCTGCTAGGGTCGTCCCTGTGTCCACCTCTGCCCTCTGCACTTCCTCTACACTGCATCAAGAATGAGTTTACAAATACGCAAATCGGGTCAAGCAACTATCTCCTTAAAACCCTTCAAAGACTTCCTGCTTGGCCAAACTCCCAAATCCTTTACTGTAGCTACAAAATTCAGGCACCTGCCTAGTCCATACCTCAGTGTTTATACTCCAACCTCATTGGTCTACTTTCTGCTCCGTTTTGCCTTAAGCCTCTAAATTTGCTGTTATTTCCTTTGAACCCACATCCCGGACTCACCCTCTCTCCCACCTACTTAAACCTGATTCGTCCATCATGGCCCAGCTTAAACGGGTGTTCGCTGATACCACAGCACCTTTTACTTGACCTTCCTTAACACTCCTCATTAAAATGTAATGATATTTTTTAAGGTCTGTCTTCCCCAGCAGACTGTGAGCACCTTGTCTGATGCATTGACCACAATGCCTACCACGTAACCAGCACTCAACATACAGCTGGTGAAGGAAGAAAAAGTAGACACGCAGCCACGTACTTGCTTGAAAAGGGCAAGAAACTAAAAATAATGAACAATGGCTATAAAAGAATACATCAAAATCTGATATTTGGTGTGTGATTCTGATCTGATACTTTCAAAATGAGTTTAAAGAAAAACTCATATCAACACTTTCGACATTACACATTTGTAATTAAGTTGTTTTTGTTTAATAATTTACAACAATTTAACTATAGGTCTTAACCTGGCAAAGCAGTTCTCTTCCCTAAAACATGTCTTCAAATGTTGAAATAATGTTAAAAATTCAAAATTATGATTTTGAACATGCTTAAAAATCCGATTTGGACAGTAATTTGATGTGATATAAAAGCTCAATGTTTTGTTTGATAAATTTCTGGATGGATGAATTTATAACCTACCATTTGAAGTAAGATTTTTCTATTTGCTGGAAATAAAACAAAAATAAACCACTATATTGTTTCACTGGCCATAGAACATATTTCAGAATCCCACAAGGGGGCGTTCCAGCACCTCCAAACTGTCTTTGAAGCATACTAATTTTTCTCAAAGGGAAATTTAAACGTTCATGTCTTTCTTTTCCAAAAGAATAAAACTATTGCCATCGACTTTAAAAAAGAAAACTATAACCAAAACATGAGCCACTTGGGACACACACACATACACGCTGGGAGTACAAATTTCCCCTGAAAGGACCCCAACCAAGCTCGTTTGTGATGACAAGAGGAAGTCCCCTCATCCAGCGGTGTGCCTGGACAGACTGTGAAAGAAAAATAAACAAAAACCGATTTCTCTACTTGTGAAATCCCCCACATTACTTGAACGAAGTAGCTCGGAAATTTCATAGAGAAAAGAAAAAATAATTCCTTAGTAGTTTTCACATTAAGCCTACGGCATTATCCCCCTTTTATAAGATGTGGGAAATGTGGTTACAAAGGGCTCAATGACTTCGCAAAGGGTGCTAAGGTTCGTTAGCAGAATAATGGAAAACAACAGCAGGTTTTTTAACACAAGTCAGTATTTTTTCCAAGTAAATTGGAATAGACCGAGTCTACTTTTCCTAGGTACTCAAAAGCCTAAAAATTCTTCAACATGGAAACACGTATTAGAAAATCATACCAAGAATTTACGCAAAGGTCAAGAAACTCATAATGAAAAAACTCCTTTTGTTTGGCTTGTATTGCCATGGTTTTGTGGTGAAGGGGTATGAATCTAGGTAACTGGATCTAAGAGAGAAAAAAGATCACCTTTCTTATTTGCTAAGAAATTAGTCTTTGTATACTGAGCAGAGTGTGATTTGGGGGCGGGACTATATGCAATTAAACAGTAAAGAAAATGATAAACATTTTACATGACTTTTATTAACAAGAGTAAACCATCTCCTAAAAAAGTATACGAGAACCTATATTAATCTAGACAGAATGAACAACTTATGACATTCCCAGTAATAACCATGCATGAAACCCTGTCATTTAAAGATTATAACTTGTAAAATACATAAGGATTACTTAGATAAATCCTCATCTTAGAGTGTCTATTTCTCAGACATTTTCGAATGCTAAGTTTAGAGGTCCCTATAAAGGTAAGTATCTTTTGCCAGCACATACATGAATGGGAACACAGATTTCACATAAGCCATGTGACCATTCCAGCCAGTGGCCCACACACAGTGCTAGGTACAATACATTCTATACAGCAAATGATTTTGTGTAAAATGAGCACTTTCTTGGGTCCCTTCCACACAGCGCTCACGCTCTATAACCAAACTCCTAAATTTAGTGTTTCCTGCACAACAGACAGAGTCAGCCGAGTTATTAGGAAGCACAGCTGGGCTGCTTTACCCCGATGTGAAACAGCAGTTGTGTGTCAACCCTCACCGCTGCCTCTACTGCCCTCCTAGTCCTCGGATAGTTAAACAGCTGAAACAGAATTTACCTATGTTGCCAGACCCACTCACTCAAATACTTGTAAAA